TTGCTGAATGAGAGGATTTCCTCACCTATGTTTTAAACATACTTGATGTGCTAAAATTTTTCTTCATTTGCAGTCGGAGGATATGTGAATGAATCCCAACAGGGATGCCACTTTTGGTTTTGAAGAGATGCACTTGCAAAATGAGCAGGAATACGTTTAATTTGACAGCTCTTGCTCTCCCCTCATCACAGGCAGCTGTTGTCAGACTGAATTAAAAAGTTTGCAGAAATACATTCCTTAAGCAGGAAAAAAAGTGGAATGGTCATAAACCCCAGTAGAATTGCTGCATAGAGATTGTTATTTGGCCTTTAAATATTAAATGGCTGGTTTTAAACAGGTCTGGTGCAGATAGTTTCTGCTACAGGTTTATTGATTAAAATAGCTGCTTTACATCAGCTCCAAATTTGTTTCTCCAGAGGCTTTTGTCTTCATGAATAATGTACTCTTTCACTGAAATTTTGTTAGAATTAATTTCCTGGAGTCTGGCTGTATATCTCTAGGTTCCTAAGTCTCAGCTGACAAGGCTGAAAATTGTGATATTCCCTGCACTTCCTCCTTAGAAATGAATATTCCTTCTTCCACCCATCTAGTCTGACCAAACCTAGTGCTTGCACATTGGACTGTGCACTTGGAAACAGCTGTGACTGTTTGGCTCTTTGAGAGAGGTTTGTATGATACTGAAGGTTGCCTTGTCTATACTGAGGATTAGATTTCTGCAGCAATTCATCCAAACCCTTCAAGAGTGAGTGGGAAAATTCCAGTGAGCTTTGGATCAGACAGTGAACTTGGAGGCTTGTTGTGGTTTCAGGTGGGCAGGTCTCATGCCTTCAATATTGTAAGTACTCCAATTTGCTGGATGCATCTAATTATGCATGATCAGGCTTTTTTTTACACCATTTTATGGCCTTTTGTATGCATTTCTAAAGATATGCACCTTGATTTCTGGAAGATGCTTGAGGATTTTGTGCTAAGCCCAAAGGGTACTGTTTTGCTTGTGTAAGGGGTGGTGGAACAGACCTTGCACAGCTTCCCCTTGCAGGCTGAGGCTTGCAAGTTCTGTTATCCCTCTGGGTTGAGTTTGCTACTCTGCAACAGGAGAAGACTGCTGCAGGACCTGTAAGAAAGGAGGTCAATGAACAGCTCAGTCAATGAGCAAACAGAGATGATAAGACCTTTCTTGACAATGTGCTTTTCCTCCTCCTCCCTTCTGATCCTCTTTCCTATCACAGAAATATGTCTTTGCTCAAACTATCTGCTACAACAATAGCTGTTTGCAAAACCAGAGCAGGGAGAAAGTCAGATTAAAGCCTTTGGTGAAAATATGTGAAATCAGGCTCCACAGTTTCATTGATGCATGGGAAAATAAATATCACTGTTGGTAGAAAAGACAATTGAATGTCATGGCTCTGGAAATGTAGTCAGTCACAGATAATCTGGCCTGCCTTTACTCTCTTGGGGAGATGATGACCCTTTCTTTCTACAAGTTAATTTTACACCAAGATAAAACCAGAAGAAAAACCCAGTTGATGTATATATATATAAACACATATAAAGAAAAAAGTTATTCCATTCTGAAATGGCCAAGAACAGGATATTGTGGTGCCTGAACCTTTTCCTGAAGATTTTTTCTGTTTTATTTAACCAAATGAAAATCTCTTCAAGATGTCATTTGGCAAAGTGTTTTGACCCAGGTGAGACCGCAGATCTTGACAGTATATTAGTTTTCCTGAAGTATGTCTGACTTGTCTCTAATTTTTTTTTTAAGGCATGGAGGCTGTGAAGATGATAACTGGCTTCTTTATGACAGTGAAACACATAGCCAGGATCATATTGGGAGGGTAGCTGACAGGCACTAGACAGATGGTTCCTGTGTGAATGTTAGCAGATGAGAATCCTCCCTTCTTGGAACACCTGTCTGATGACCAGTGCTGCCACAGTCTGTCTCTCACACTTCTTACAGACCTGAGAGAAAGATGTGTGACCGGAAATATGAGCATCTACTGGATTTTTTTGGTCCTCTCAGGAAAGCCCCTGTGGCTGTGGAGTGAGTGGATGTGGTTTAGAGCAGGTCATTAGGTTTTCTCTCTTTCCTCCCTTAGAGCTTGCCGTAAGCATGGGGTGGCCCGGTCAGTGCACAAAATGCCCTATTCTATTTAGTGTGGGGGTTTCTGCAGCCTCACTTCCTTTCATCACAGCTAGAAACAAGACTCCCCTTGGTGTAGTTAGGAGAGGACTTGAGCAGTTATGAAAGCCTGCCTCCCCCTTGCTAAATTGTATGGCCTGGAATTGTAGGAGGATGCTGAAAGTCTTCTCCACTCTGCCAAAATTCTTCATGTCAGTAGTGGAACAAAGGAAGCCCAGTTTATTGTGGTTGAGCCTTTGGTATCTCCAGTGGTGGAAGCTCTCATTGAGGCTTTTCCTGTGGCTGGGATATTCAAAACCTTCCTTTGTGGCTTTGCTGCTACATAGAAAAGTTGAGCTTATGCTATTTTTTTTCCTGGTGTGTGAAAGCAGGAACTGACTCTCTGTCAATTAACAAGGGATGAAATGAGCCAACAAGCCCAGAGTTTATCAGAGTGAGACAGAGAGGTGCATGTGTACACATCAAGATACTGATATATACCTGATGAAACTATATAAATAAAATTACATAAACCTTATTTTCTCAGGATGCCAGGCTACAGTTACTTGACGGATCCTTTCAAATGAAAGCATTGCTAGTAGCATCGGTGTAATGTTAAATTTCTTACAAACATTGTATTTGAGACAGGCAACAAAGCAAAAAGGCAGTAATAATTTGAAAAATATGAAAAATTTTAGGCACACAAAATATGAATAAACATATTTTTCATCCTCCCCTTCAATCAATGTTTTAATTGAGAAGGCATTGATATTGTAATAACATCTCTTCTGTTGTTGATGCTTTAAGGAACTAATGACGTCTGTTTAACCAAGCATAAAGAAGAGACAAATTATAGGATAATCTGTATTGTTTATTTTATTGTTTCAAATAAAGAACTGAAAGGTGATGAAACTGGGCAATTAAGGAGCAAAACAAAGGAATAAATTCTGCTGATGCAGTGGAATACTGCATTGGTAATGGATGGAGAGTCAGAACATGTGAGCCAAGGAACCTTGCATGACTCTTGCGTGTAAAAATATTTTCAAGTATCTAAAAAACTTTCACCTCTTGATATGACCCATTCTGATTTGTTTAACCTTGTAGAAAATGCAGTGGGTTTTGATCTTCAGAAGGGGTTCTGCTAGGAGTTGAGGGGAAAAGTCTGTAACTAATTGGTCAAAGCAGGACAGCTCTAGTGGAGCCTGCTAAATCCTTTGGGTTATCTGCATTCCTGCTGTATTCCACACACATGGCTGAAGGGTGAGGGCAGAGCTGGCATGGCTGGCAGCAGAGCAGGATACATGCTTAGGATGTTCAGAAACAATCAGAGCCTTTAATGGGAGTAGAGGATTAATTAATTCTGATCCATACAGACACATTGGCTTCTTGTGCAGCCAGAATCCTAATTAGGCAATCAAATTTTTTTCCTTTCACAGTGACCATTGCTCCAGCTGTGCTGCAACTCTTTCCTCTCTTTATTTGCAAATCTCTCTCTATTTTGCAGCAAAAAAATTTACATACTTTGGCAGGAAAGCTTCCTTCTTTTCTTTCAATTTTTCCTGTTTGCATCTACATATCTGCATATCTGCTTCTGATGTTCTATAATCCTTCAACCTTAATTTTCAAACCCTTGTTATGAAATGAGATCATGGCTTCTTCCTCATCTCCTTTATTCCTCTAACCCAGGGTTGCTTCACTTCTTTTCCCCACTCCAGCCCTCAGCCCCTGCTGACTCAGTTAAATATACATGTGTGCTTTCCCCCTTTGTTCCTTCTTTTCCCTTCACCCCTCTGTGGCTGCTTTTCTTATGTTGGCTTTGATCTCTTTGCTGGCAACACTAACATTTTAAAATCTTTTCTAATTTATTATTTTTGTACATTGTTGTGAAATTAAATATCTTGGAAAGGAAACATGGGTTGCTCCACTCTCTGCAGGAACAAACTCATTGGGTGGGAAGACTGTGTATTCAATTGAAACCTGTGCTGGGGAAGTGCTGAGGAATGGTCCAGTCCTCTGGACTCTGTGCTGTCAGTCTGGTCTGAGTAATGAAGGCACATCCCAGATTCAGCTCCATGGTTAGCCTCAGTTTTGCTAAGCCACGTTACTGCAGCAAAGGGAAAAATGGAGGGCCAGTACTTCCAGGTTCTTTTGTTCTGGGTGGTGACCAAAACCATCAGGAGTGTAATCCTTAGTGATGGGAACCGTGACACAAATCCCTGGAATTCACTGAGGTTCTTCTCTTTGTCAGCAGCGACGCTGAGAGGTCACTTGTGTTTCATAACCCTTCCCTCTTTTGGGGCTCTATCAGAGTCCTAGTCCACTGGTTAGCGTATCCCATAACTCTTGTGTTGCAGCTGGTATGTTGCTTTTTTCTGTACTTACATCTGTGCAGACATTTTTTTTTTTATCTGTTGTGTCACTTTTGTGAAGATGGCATGTGTTGTTATTAATTATGATTACTGTTTTATGCTAACCACTACATTTATTTATGGCAAAAAAATGACCACTGTAATGACTGTGAGTTCCTACCAAGATGTAATTTCCTTGACTACCCCTAGCTGTGGGGTTTTCTCCCGGCAGTGGCAGTAGCAGGTGAGTTTCTGCCAAGTTTCTACAGACAGTCTTTGCAGCAGCCCTCCAAAGATGGCTCCATATGGTCACTCTGGTCTGTAGAATCTGCTGCTAGATGACCTGTTCAGCTCTAGTCCCTTTTTTTTTTTTTTTTTTTTTTTGTCAGATGCCTTTCAGTCCTCTCTTCTAAAGAATAAAGAATAAAAATTTTAAATTACTCCATATCCTATTCCCCAGAATGAGACTAAACTTTATTTGTGACCTTTCTTTTACCCAAGATTGACTGGGTTTTGTTGTTTTATTCCAGGTCACCGGTTTCTTCAGAAGATCAAGGTAAGATCTGTTTTATAGATACTTACAGCATATTAAAAATGAGACCAAAGACTAGTGAATAAGCTCTGTTTTAACACAGTTGTGGTGGAGAAAGATATTTTTTTATAAAAATGAAACTTTGGTGTTGATGAAACTTTGTTCACCCCTAGACATTAAGTGTTTGATCATTTAGTTAGTTTAATTGGGACTGACAAAACTGTTGAGTTATTTGTAAAATGAATCTTGCTTAATCAAATGGAACTATTTCTAGAGTTTACAGTTTATTCATCCACCTGAATAGAGCGTCACCTGTGGAAAATGTGTGGTCTAAAGAACACTACATGTTTTTGTAAAGATAAGCACATCTTTTGTGACTCTCACAGGACAGCATCTTTGTCACTGTGAAGAGAATGCATTGTGTTTTAAAAGCTTAAACACACATTATCTTGGGTTACCAGTAAAGTCAGTTTAGTAGGACAGTATGGAATTTAGGGCAGCTAGGCTCATCTACATGGAAAAATCTCACGGCTTGAGTAGCAGGAGTTGCAGGTTATGGCAATATGCTTGCTGTGAGGGAGACTTGAAGGATCTGTTCTTTCCCTGTGGCCTAAAGAGGGACTTTGTGATGACCAGCTGTTTAAGTGGCAAACTTAAGTCCATCTACAGTATATCAATATATGGCAGCACTGGTACTGAAATCCAGAGACATACTGTGAAGGCGTGGTAATTGCACTGCCAGAGTTGCATAAGGAATGAGGAACAAAAAAAGGGAGACTGACTAGAAGAGAAAGTTCATCGTGTGGCTCTGAACTGGGAATACTCTTTTGGTCCAAAAAAGAAATATCTGTTTTCTTCTGGCATCCAATTTGTATGCAGTCACACAATCAGAACGTTTTCTGGCCAATACCATAAGCATTACTCAAGAAATGTCCGGATGGGAATAGTAAGGACTGCTGCAAATGGAGGTGTAAGAAGGTCTGACCCTGGAAGTGTGTCACTGAACTATGTTCAGTTGGAGTGTGGAGTGACAAGTTAGGTATCAACCTACATTGTTCTTGGCTCAGCCAAGGTTTTTAGTTCACTATAATGGATGTCAAACATATTGTCATTAATAAACTCTGTTCCATCTCCTTGGTGAGTCCTTTCTCAGTAACAAAAGTTGTAAAGAAAGCCATAAAAGTGAACAAACATGCAAGATCAAAGGTATATCTGGCCCATCTAGTCCATTCCTAGTGTCTGGTCGCAGCAGATCCTGTGACAAATAAAAATATGAGACTGGCAGAAGCATACAGGCTTAATTTCCTGGTGTGCCCTATTAGATTTTTATGATTTACAGCTCATTGATTTTGTGAACCAGATGGAGTTTTCCTGTTTAATAGTTTATCTGCTTTTTACCATGACCACAGATTCTAATATTCAGTATAGGACTGTGAGAAGTTAACAGTATACCTCACGTCTCCAGCTCTCAGAAGAGATTTGAAATCATTATAGTCTAATATACTATTTCAGGACCTGGACTCAAGCTGCATCTCAGTGCATAAACTTGTTAGTGATGAGCTGTTCTTGCTATTTAATTTCCCTTGCATTTACTGTATTGCTTCATCTTTATCTATTAGTGGAGCTGCAGACGGTGTATATGCATTTCCTTGTGTATCTTTAAAGGCTGGTCTTTGATGCTGTCAGAATGCTTTTCTTCTATCCACTATTTTTATTCTATTTGAGTTTTTGACAAAAACTTCCTGTTTGCCATCTACCATCTGCTGCCATGGTTTGGCTTTTCAGGTTTGATCAACATCTCTGAATAGCCTCTTCTTCCTTGCCTTTTTTTCCTTTATCTCACAAACAACCTCTTCTGAAATGCAGAGTGAAAGGCCTTGACCAATTAGTGACATGATAGTGCCAGTTATTAAGAGTTTTGTGACCATGGAGTTTCTAACTAGATTTGTTAACCCTATAAATATGTAGGAGCTTCTCTCAAGCACAAAAGATTTCCCATTCTCCAGGGACTTTTCAGAAAGAAGGGTCCAATACTTGGATTTCCTCTATCCCACTACGCCAGCTACAGACCATGGTAAATGGGCACAGTACAAAAATGAAAATGTGATAAAAGTGCTGCAGCATAAGCTCTTTAGAGTCTAGAAGGTTCGACTGCATGTGTGGAGGCATCTCAAATTAGCCTTAGATCTCAAATCTCTTATCTAAACAAAAAAGAGGGTCCATGAGAGTGCCAAAAACTTATCTCTAAATTGCCTGTCTTTTATAGTGTTTACGCAGATGTCTCCTGGCATATTGTTCTTGGAGTACGTATCTTGAAATCAGTTTTGAGACTTATATGTTCATTAATAATCAGTACTCAACTGTGTACCTATTCAATGTTAAATATTTACTTTTTTTTTTTTAATAAGGCAATAATGCTTTGGGCTACATAGTGAGGGAAGATAATGTACCTTCACTGTACCTACATTCTGCCCTGTATTACAGCTCTTCTTCCCTACTATGGACACCATTCTAGTGCTGATTTTCTGATGATGTTATGTGTTGATCATTACTGAGAAAAGGCTCTTTCTCTGTTGTGTTGGATCTTTTGTTTTAACCTCCCTCTTGCTTCTTGATCTTTGTTTTGTCTGCTTTAATATTCAGTTGTCACTTTTTCTTCTACTGTTTCTCTGTGGAGGTTTTTATTATCATCCTCTTCTTGCTTTTTAAATGACTCTTTCAACCACAAGGTTGCATTCTGTGTATATTTTTGCACTGTGCTCTTGCCTTGGTTTCTGAATGTCCTGCTTCTGCTCCAGTGTGGACAGAGTGGTACAATCATAGTGGGAAGCAGTAGCTGTAGCATCTGTAGTGTTCTAACAGACTTGTACCAGAATTAGCCTCTAATGTGAGTGGCACTTCCATTAATCCCTGACAGGACAATGCATTATGCTGTCTTGACAAGGGGGTGAAGATAAAGCACCATCTGTCTGGGACTGGGCATCTATTGAACAATTGTAACTGCACACAATGCTCCTTGTTGTGGACACATGTTAGAGGCACCTTTATCAGTTACAAAACAGGCCCATTTTAATTGGCACAGAAAGGGAAAGAGCACTGCTAGAAGATCCCAAATTTCAAAAGAAAAAATACCCAATGCCTCTTAAGGTTTGTGTCTTTGTTCTTGGTACAGGTAGCTAGGAAATAGATAACTAAAGAGTGAAATCCATCAGCCTTTTTTTTTTTCTTTCTTTTTTTTTAATAAACAAAAGGAGTAGACAAAACCCCTAACCCTCAAATGCTCTGACAAAATGATACAAGTCAAGTAAATCTTAAAGCATACCAGTTTAGGCAGGGGGTTGATGACTCTGAAGAAGGACCTGTCCAGTCAGGTATTGCCTGTTGCAGCTCCATGCCCTGCAGCCTTGGAAGTAAGTGGTTCTCTTTGGGTTTTGGGGTTAGATGAGACTCAACAATAGGCAAGTGTCAGACCCATGGAAGACCTGGTATACGTCATGATGGAGGGCCAGACAAGTCATCTTTTAGTGAAGGGTATCACCTGCTACATTTTTGCTGTATAAAAAGTCCTGGTGATATGACCAGGAGGTCTGACACTGTTGGAGGTTATTGCATCCATTGTGTGATGGGAATGCAGACTTCTAATACATCGTGTTGCCCCTACATAGTCATTGTCTGGTTATCCAGTGCACACTTGTTGTCTGGTTGTGGTTAGGTGAATGGTTGAGGTTTACCAAACCCTTCATTCACCCAGCAAACCCTTCATTCACCCAGCACCTTTCAGAGTTGCACTGTATTTTGTGTGCACACTGGATCATGTTTTGCCCACTCCTATGTACAGCCACCCTGCAGAAATCTGCATTAAAAATTCATATTTGTAGTTTCATCTGGCCAAAGTTAGGTTCTCTCTACTATTCTTTGCTTACCTTATATGTTTGAGTTGATTCTTCATCATCACATGAGCAATTGAACGAAATGACCTTAAAATGACCTATTTTCATTTCATGTATTCTGAAAAAAAAACCCCAGCAAATTCTTGAGTGTTGCTATTAATAGTGTAGGGACATTGGTGTGTTATTCATGTCATGGCAACTTAGAACTGATGCTGCTCAATAATCTTGTGTCTGACTTCAAACCTTGCCTTTGATGGAATTATTCAGTTTTAAGTAGCTATACTAATGCACCTCAAGTAGCAGTCAACCAGAGCTTAATCCTAACACACCTGAGTTGTATTCTGATTGGGAGACAAAAGGTTTCAAATATTTATGTCACTGCTCTCCCACTCATTTTTCTAAAAACCAACGAGATTGGGCTTTCTGCCTAGTTTGCTTCCAGCAGATGTGGTTTTGCTGCATCAGCATAATTTCTGTGATTTAGGGTTTGTGGTTTTGGGCATTTTGTGTGTAATAGATTCAAAATTCATGAGGGAATAGGGAACAAATGAGAAATTAAGACAAGAGGGAAACACACTCAGTGGAGCAATTTTGAAGACAGTTAGTTATTACAAAGTAATAATATTATACAAGAGATTAAGATAAAGGATGGGGTTTCTGCTTGAAAAGACAAATAGCAAGACTCAAAGGTCTTTCAGATTCTGCCAGATGCTGGTTCCATGCCATGGAGTCACTCCATGACTTGGAATCATCTAGCCTGGATATTGTATACTTAGGAGGGATTTGTGTAGAGCCAGGAGTGCATTAGAAGTAAAGTGAGTTTATAATGGTGACTTCTAAATTAGTCTCTATTAGAAAAAAAATTTCCACAGGGATTGCTTGGCATGGGCTCAAACTGGAAGTTTTAGGTGGGAGGTGTAATTCTGTCCCTGGAGATCCCTCTGAATAGAGAGAGCTGCTATCTGAGTTATAAGGAAGGGGCTGATCAAGTGTGTGCATGGAAGGCTGTGGTGGCTTCATCCCACACAGGAAAATGCTTTGCTATGCAGTGTCTGCTCCTGCCTCGGAATGCCCTGTCCACTCTGGAATTTGCTCCAGCTCCATTACAGAGAGGAAATCTAAACACATGCAAGG